ATTTTCCTAAAAAGGAAATACATCTACCCCTAAGTTATAACAAATATGATTTTTATATAGCAAATAATAAAAATAAACTTGTCAAAAATTCTTCATCACTTTCCTTAATAGCCATTTAAAATAATATCTTCCTAACTACTGGTTGAAATCACTTGAACTGATGTAAGTCAGTTCCCAATGGACCGTGGCATTAAATTCATGAACCCACAGCATTTCTGAGGTTTGCACTCCAACTATATATAAAAATAACACGCCACTTTGACATTTCAGACTCCTCTGGCCTATCTGTTCAACTGATTTTAAATTAATATATGTTAATATATAATTATTAATTATTATCCTGAGCATTTTCTGTTATTATTATTGCATCCTTAAAAAGTATGATACTGAATAGAATGATTTTATCATGTCATATTAATATCAACATTTTAAACTTTTCAACCCCTTAAAAGCTTTTATATTATTATGGAAATTTTCAAATATATAAACAAAAGTAATGAGAATCATATGATGAACCTCCATGTCCTATAAACCACCTGAGTTATCTATACTTCACTATTTTTGTTTTCTTTATTGGCCTACCACTTTTCTTTTTCCTTTTTATCCCCTTTGTAATACTTCAATACAAATTCCTAACATTGTGTCTTTTCACTAGCAAATACTCAAGTATGTATCCCTTACTGATAAAGTTTTTAAAATATAACAAATATTTGGTAGCATTCACCAGTGAAGCTATCTGGGAATGAAATATCATTGGAAGGAAGGTTTTTAACTACAACTGTAATTTCTTTAGGAGATAAAGGAGTATTTAGGAAAGCTATTTCTTCTTGAGTTAGCTTTTGTAGTTTGTATCTTTCAAATAAATTTTCCATTTCACCTAACTTGCTGAATTTAGAGGCACAAAGACAGCCATAATATTCCCTTGTTATCCTTTTAGTATCTGTAGAATCTGTAGTTACATCACTCCTCTGAGTCATGATATTGGCAATTTCCCTTTCTCTTTTAATCAGCCTGAGTAGAGATTTATTTATTTTTTATCAAAGAACCAGTTTTGTCTTTCATTAATTTTTTGTTTTCCATTTCATTGATATCTACTTTATTATCTCCTTTCCTCTGCTTACTTTGAGTTTAAGTTGCCCTTTTTTTCTCAAGTTTCATAAGGTAGAAGCTAAGGTCATTGATTTGCGACTCTTCTTTTACAGGTGTTTAGAGCTATTTAAAGTGAGTGTGTTAGCAGCATCACACTAAATCTGATGTGTGGTGTTTTCAAACACAGTTCAAAATACTTTCTAACTTTAATTTCTCTTTTGATCTCTTCTTTATTTATGGGTTATTTAGGATTGGATGAGCAAGGGAGAGCATCTACTGATCTCTGGGGTTCTCTATGCAATGCTTTCCATTCTGGTACTCTGTTCTCCAAAATCTGGCTGTCTTGGTCTCCCTGGACTTTCTGTTCTGTCTCAACTCAGATGGTCTGCTGAGTTTTGCCTGGGTTCCTCCTCCAGGTACTATGAGTAGAAACTCTTTCAGTGCACTAGGTGAAGGCAAGTATACGGCTCCTCTTGTTTCTCATATCTCAGGAACCACTGTCCTTGGTTGTCTGATATCCAGGGTCTTCAAGACCATTGTTTCATGTATTTATCATCTATTTGTTTGTTTGTTTGTTTCAGGGAAGACAGTAAATCTGATCCTTATTACTCCATCTGAACTGGAAGAAGAAATCTGGTTTGGTTTTTTTTTATAAATCATTAAAAACTCATGACTTTATATATTTGATTTGTGTTAATCCATTGTAGCCATCTTCCTTTTTGATGCTCAAAGTATCCCAGCTTAGGCAAGTGGGAGGCACTTTGTGTTGGCTTTTGGGTCCTTTGATGTGTTCCTAGTAGTCCTTTAGTGGCAAATGATATTTAAGCACTACAGTCTAGATGCTATGATTTAACTATGTATTTGCATTTGGTGAACTTTATTTTGAAAAGTAGGAAGGAGAGCAAGAGTGCAAGATAGAAATATTTTGCACTTAGAAATAGGTAATCTGCAGTGAAAAGAACACACCTGTGTTGGAGGACACTCAATTCTGCCAGATACAAATCATTAACATTCTCAACTGTTAAAGAGACAGCTAAAAAGCTCTTATCATTGCTTCCTAAATATGGATCTCTACTTTTCCAAACCCACTCCAGTAAAGTTGACTTTATCTTCTCAACCTGTGTGCATCCAGCCTTAGCTATTTCTGGAGTCTCATTTACATAGTCATAACAGCTAACTAGGAAGGTCTCCTACTCCAATACTGTTTGGTATTAGCAGAGTCTATCTGAAGATTAATGGTGTGTCATCAATAAATATTGCAAAGTCACAGTCCAGCCAAGACTGAGAGCATCAAAATAAAGTCCAAGAGACCACAGTAATAGAATATCAGTATTTTTCCATTTATTCCCAATGTTCTGTCTTCTTGCCCTTGATTTAACCAACGAAGGTGTCACAAATCCCCAATTTTCCCTTCTAAATTACTAAAGACTTGACATTCCTTACTTTCAGTGACAGACCTTTATGGTCTCTTTCAGGTCAATGACTCTTAACTTCAGAGATTGGTCTGGGTGTAAGAAACTCTCAAGATAGACCATCTAATACAGGGACATCTCTTCATAGACAGGAAACTAAGGCACAGAGATTTTATGGCACTTGCTTCCATTAGCCAACTTAGAGCCAGAGACTTAGTAAATTAATAAGTTGGAGAGATTTTCTAAATCATATAAAATTAAATATATTTAGACTGATAGCTTTCAATACTCTGTATCTTATATCTCCCTAATCATTTATTCAAAAATTATATACCATGATACTTATTTAAACCTGTGCACCATGATGATAAGGGTAACACAACTTTCTAGGAGCATTTATACATTTACAAACATTTTCTGAATGTAAATTACATTTTGTGTAATGTCAGTATAAAAACACTGTAAGAATGCAAATTTTTTTTTAAAAAGCTTTTATTTTACTAAAACTTGAGTCTACCTTTGGTTTTCAAGAGATAAAACAATGAAAACAGCTTTGCAAAAGTTATGCCTGTGTAAAATGCTACCTTGCCTTTACCTGAATCCATGAAACTAACCAATACTATACCACAAACCAGTCTTCTTATCAAAACAAAGGCTGTGCTGAGCAACAAAGATGGTCCTCACAATGCTGTGGACCAGCTTTGATGTGAATCCAGGAGACTCTGACTGCTGACAGGCCAAACTACCAATCCTGGTATTTAATCTTCAGAATAATCTCAGCAAATTAAGCCTTCCAAAGCAGACATTTGCTATAGCTGCTATTTTGTCACAGAGAATAATTCTGATCTTTTAAGTACCAGTGTACCATAAATTTCTGGCCATCTCAAAATGCTCAGGGAAGCACTTACTGATCTAATAAGTCTTGTTTTGTCTTTAATGAGTACAATTTCGAGTGATCGTAAAAATCCCACATATGGTCATTATAACACTTGTTGTGCGCAATCTGTTCATCCAAAGGCATTTCTACTCTACACTATAAACAGCATTAGATGTGACTGGAAAAACATTCATCTACCAAAATGTTCAGGCCAAGGTTATGGAAAATGAATAAAAAATTATGGTTACATATGGTCTCGGTTACACGGAGATGTTTTGATAGAGCAATAATAAAGAAAAACATGCCTCTCCTCTGTTAGCTCTAGGTTCTGATCCTCAAAATACAATTAAAGCTGATCAGTCATTTAAGATAGAACAATCACAGGCTCTGTTTCAGATATACTAGACGAGGACAGTGACTTGATATGTTTTTCTCAAAGTCTGCTCTGATTCTGAGGCAATTTAGATATTGGAGAACCTATTTTAATATTAGTAGCTAAAGTTTACTTAGCACTTACTGTGATCTCGATAGCGAGGCAAGCACCTTGCATATATTACTTCAATTAATACCCTGAAAAATAATTTGCCTGCTTGGCAGAGCCAAGATTTAAACCTGAGCTGCCAACAGAGCCCAGGCTCCTACCCACTGTGCCTCATCGCCATAGCCCGAGGCAACTTGTAAACATTTGCTCTTTCCCCAGGAGGAAAGAAAAACATTATTTGCCACTAAATTGTAAGCTTCAAGAGACCTAAGGAGACCAAGTCTAAGGAGACTAGGGATCTTACCTATTTTATTTCTGCCTTGTGCTGCTAACCCATCAGTTTTCTAATAGTAGTGAAATGAAGGAAGGTCGAATACAAAGGTTTCTCAGTTATTAAATGGAAAAGGTAAGACAACACCCATAGTACTTAGGAGACTACGTACTATATGATACAGTTAAAATGTATACAGTGACAAATTTCAGATAATATACAGGCAAATTTTACAGTAGCCAGTTTTCCAAAACATGTATATAAGAGTTAGCTCCTAATTGTTTTAGAGTTCTGAAAAGCAGCAGAGATGATGCATAAGGGTAAGAGATTACAAAGGAATGGGCATTTTCATTATTGCTGAAGTATGAGATTTCCTGTATTTTGTATATAAGTAAACTCTCTGAACTGTAAAGTTAATTTTTTATATACATTCCCTTCTCTTTTCACCTTAACACATTCAGCTTAATCATATGCACTGATCATAGTCACTTCTTAAAGCCAAATGCTCAGAAATCTAAAGATATATGACCAGTGAAAACTTTATAATCAAAATATCTTCTAACACAATACATTAATATCAAAATAATTCCTGTACTTACATCAGTTTCCTTAAGGGGTGTGTGTGTGTGTGTGTGTATAAAAATAGTCATTAGCAAATGAAAAAGCAAAAAGTAAGTTTCTTGTTTAAATGAGTGTCCCATTTCAGAAAGCACAGATATTGTATTGTTGCCTTACTTTTAACTTTAGCAAACGCTACTCACACTTCTATAAAGATCTGACTATTCCTCATTCAAGTGTGTTTACCCCTGCTAGGGCAGTGATAAAAAATGATACTCAGAAACACTAAGGAGATGTAGCCATGGTACCCACCTTGGTTAGATGAATGACTCCTTTAGAAGTAACTGAACAACCCATGAAGCCAACATACTGAAGTTCAGGACAGTGCTCAGCAAATGCTTTCACAGACTGATCTGTCACCTAGGGAAGAAGTGTGAACAAAGTTAGTCAACCTGGCATTACAGTGAATTTAAGGATTTGGCTACTGCAAATTCCCTCAGCTTTACCTTGCATCATTAATATCTCCCTTTCCAATGGATCATTTGAATCTGTATACAGACATGCTGCAATGTCTCCTGTGGTTTTTTTTTTTAAATCCTTCCTCGACTCCAGGTCCTCTTTTATCACCCCATGTTTGATCACTTCTTTAAAGAAAATGTCTCAGAGATGTAAAGCAATCTACCTCTACTTCTTCATCTCTCTCAATATATATTTGTATTGACATAATTCACACATATCAAAAGGAACAGTCCAGTGGTTTAGTATATTTACAAGTCTGTACAACTATCACCAATATCTAATTCCAGAACATGTTCATCACCCCCTCAAAAATCCCCATGCCCAGGAGCAGTCATTCCCCTATTCCAACCCCTGGCAGCTTTCTATCACTACGGGTTTGCCTAGTCTGGACATTTTTTACACTTGAAATTGTACAATTGATCCCTGAAGTACAGCAATGGTCTCTTTATAAGGTTTCTCTCTACATGTGTTTCTTCCAAGAAATCTGGTTTTCCCTACACTGCTTCAGATTCTTCTGATGTGGATGGTGTGATGGTTAATTTTATGTTTCAACGTGACTACGCCAAGAGGTCATCAAATATTTGATTAAACGTTTTTCTGGATATGTCTGTGAGGGCGTTTCCAGAAGAGATTTACATCTGAAGCAGGGGACTGAGTAAAGCAGACTGCCCTTACCAAGGCGACTGCTCAATCTTAGTCACAGCCAATCTGCTGAAGGTCTGAATGGAACCAAAAGGCTGAGTAAAGGAAAATTTGCTCTCCCTCTCCCACTTTCTCTCTCTCTGCCCATCTTCAAGTTGAGACCTTCAGTTCCCTACCTTCAGCCTCAAACTTGGACTGGAACTTACACCACCAGCCTTCCTGGTTCCTATGCTTCTAGACTCAGACTGTGGAACAATACCATCAGCTTTCCTGTGTCTCCAGATTGTCAATTGCAGATTTAGGGACTTCTCAGTATCCCAAATTATGTGAGCCAATTCCTTATGATAATCTGTTTTACAAACACATACACCCCGCATACTAATTCTGAGTCTCTGAAGAACTCTAACTAATGCAATACATATTAGAACATATTAAAATCCCCTGAGGAGTTTATTAAAAACTCAGAGCCAAAAGCAGTGAGGCCCATGAATCTGTATTTTTAACAATCCCCTGGGGTGACTCTTAGGGATGTGAAAACTTGAGATCCCAGTGCTACAAAGAAGTTACACTGACAGCTTTTGGCATTTCTACATAGCCCTGTTTTAAACAAAAGGCAGAATGAAACTCCCTTTTTGTCTTCGCCACCTCCCAAAACTTTCCATATATAAAGTTATCTTCTTACAATTGTGTGAAAATTTTCTTGACTGTTCCACAAAGTTGTAGCTTATAAAAGAAAGTCCAAATATTCTCTGTCATAGGCTTAATTTCAGATTCACTTTCCTCACCATCAAGATGAAATCAACAAGTTAAACACCATTGCTCATTCTCAAACAGCAGTCACTTACATCTCCTTTGCATTAACTTTCATATGGGTGAGTCTTACTTTGTATATTCCTTATCTATTCTGAATAGATATTGGAAAATAAAGGTATGTGGGTAGCATTAATTCTGAAACAACACAAGAACACTTTCCTAAAATAATGAAACCAACAGCATCCATGGTACATCTGATAAAAGATTAATTCTGCCTTCAAAAGTAAAGTATGCTTCAGCATATTAAGACCAAGGGTGCCATTGATAAATTAAAAATGGGCCTTCCTGACACTCAGCTTTCTAATACATTATGTTAGCAAAGAATGCTTAAGGCACTAAAATTGTCTGAAACTTCAGGGAAACCCATCTCTATTAAAAAAAGGTAGGGGGTACGAAAGCTGAATACCCTGCCTAATCTCACTCTAACATCAAGCCTTTCCTAGGTCCATCTTCAAGGGGGGAAAAGGGGAATTCAGATAAAGATTAAGGACACAAGAAAGCTCAAGTACAAGGTGTTGCAGCTTTCCGAGAGAAGAAAAAATGTATTAAAATTTGTTTGGTGGGTCTTTCTCTTTCAGCTCAAGCAATCAGAGTAAGAGAGCTCAGAGGAGCCTCCAGCATCAACAGAGTCCTGTAAACCAAGCAAGACCAGAGCAAGTCCTTGGAGTATGGAAACACTCTTAGTAGGCTTGGAAGTGTGTTAGGAGACTTAGTAAAAGGCCTTGAAGATTTCAGTGGGGTCCAGCTCTATTCCCAAGAATAGAAGATCAGCTAGGATTTGGGGGTGAAACAAGTATAGATTGCCGGAGGCAAGTACCAGTGAGTGTCAACTTCTTGGGGACCTCTTTTCAAACTTCAGGTGGACCACTTACTAGCTGTGTGATTTTGAGCAAGTCATCTCATCTCTTTATACTTTGTCCCTTTTATAATAGAGAGGAAATAACAGTATCTACCTGTGAAATATGAGGGTAAATAATGCATGTAAAATGTTTTAAACAGTGCCTGCATGTTGCAACTGGTCAATGCATTTTAGCTATTATTATCATAATCATCCCAGGTTCCCCTTTCTTCTGTAGTCTAATTCTTAGCCATGACTGCAGAGTTGACATGTGAAAGAAAATAATCATAAAAATAATGTAGTTATTGGTTTGTAAATAGAATCTATTTTTAGACAAACTATGGTTACCAAAGGGGAAAGGGCAGGGGAGGGACAAATTAGGAGTTGGGGATTAACAGACACACATTACTATATATAAAATAGATAAACAACAAGTACCTACTGTATAAACACAGGGAACTATATTTAATTTCTTGTAATAACATAATGGAAAAGAATCTGAAAAGAAACTATATATATATATATGTATGTGTGTGTGTGTGTGTGTGTGTGTGTGTATC